AAGCTGAGTTTCTGTTCTCATGGGCCTGGGTCAGGTCAGGCTCAACGTGGCCCCAGCAGGGTGTTAGCACCTGATCACGAACGGTCTCGTCTTTTGAAGAAGGGCCAGGGAGACTTTTTGATGGTTGCTTTATGAATGGTGCAGGTGATATCAGGCCGCATGAGAGGGGCCCCGGGAGAACGGGATGAATGAGAATGGTCACCGACCTGGACCCAGGATTTTCAAGGGAGGGTATGCCAACTGGAATTCGGGAGTAGAGGAAGCTCAGGGCATCATGAATGCGTCCCTTGGGCTATGGCAGGGTTAGGCTTCCTGGGCATTCCGTGTCCCTAGACCTACCGCGCACAGCCACAATCACCCCTCACTGACTATGGCAAAGCCTGGGATGCAATTGCCACGGGCATCAGCGACACTTGCTCACAAGTCCTGAGGCAGGTGAGGTCAGCCTTGCACAGGTGCAGGCCTGGCCGTCTCTGGCCGTCGTCAGTGCCCTGGGCCTCTTGGGTAGGACATGGAGCCGCCTTCCCCAGAGCTGCTGCACAGCCAGGACAGCCCAAGGACAAAGCCTTCGAAGAAGGAGCTCTGAAGCCACAAAGGGTCCGCCTTTGAGCTTGATCCCAGCCACATCGGCCTCTCAACAAGCCCAGGAAGGGGAAAGGTGTCGATGTCCTAGTGTCCCACAGGACCTGCCTGACCCCATTTCACAGAACTGAGAACCGAGACCCCCCAGCACGAAAGGGACCACCCCCCGACCTCCGTCATCTCAAGGGCCCTGCTGAAGAGAAGGCCAGAATCCAGCCACCCCGAGCTGAAACCACCTAGAAACTAACTCCTCTTTATGCTTTTAGGATGTTTTTATTACAATGATAGGAACACACAAAATAAGGAGACACGATAAAATAAATAACCCTGTGTTCCTACCGACTGGTGCCCAAATCATCAATTCACTGATGATGCCGACCCACCCACGGCACAATATTTTGAAACTAATTTCATATATTATATCTTTTCATCTTTAATATCTCATCCGTGTCCTGGAAATATAGGGAGACAAAAAATAACTGCGTATCGCTGAAAACAAATGGAAAGTATCAAGAGTTCCTTAATATCAAGGAATAGTTCATCATGTTCTCATCACAGTCACATAAATGTCTAGTGTATTTATTTAGTTCATTTTTTGGTGCTGTTGCTTTTTTGTGGATTTTAATTTTTAATCGGCATTGGTGAGCACGTACTCGAATCTCTTCTTGCCAGGTAAGGTCACGATGCAGCCCTCGGACCCCAGGCTGTAACCAAACGGTTCTGCCTCCATCTGGTTTCCCTGGAACGTGGCCCTAGGAAGAACAAACGAGGTCCAGCTGTGACTTATTGGCAAGACCGCTTCCTGGGATGGTTGGCTACAGCCATCATGTGATGCCAACTGCCTCGCATGCTCAATATTCATCAGGAAGGAATGGTACCTGGCGATATTTCCCTCCGACCCTCCTCGCCCTGTGAGGGCTGCACCATGTGCACGGAGGGAGAGCCTGGAGCTGCTCCTTTCCACCCCATGGTGTATTTCATACTCTAGTGGAAAAGGAGAAATGGAGACTCTTCCCTTTTGTCCAGCGTTTCACAAAATTCAGACAACAGCTCCATTTGGGAGTCTGAGTTTCCAGGGACCATACTACTGAGCACATGAGTCACCTGTCCTGGTACGCCATGGTGGTGGGATTAACGTTGGGGGCTTAAGTTTCCCTTTGCACAGCAGACGCCAGCCTGGGGCAGTAGCCCCGACTTCCTCCATCACAGCTGCAGACAGGGGGCTGTGGGTGGGGCAGGGCCTCCCAGGGAAGGGTTTTTGTATGAGACTGTGTCACAGTGTTGGGTGTTCGGCGGAGGGACCCAGCTGACCGTCCTGGGTGAGTCTCCTGTTCCCCCTCCTTGCCTGTTCTCTCAGAGGATTGGGTAATTTTCTGCTGTGTTTGCTCTTTTTCTGTGTCTTTTTTCACCCCTTGGCCAAGGCTTCAGCCAGGACCCCAGTCCCTGGGGCCCTGACCTCTTCCCCTCCTTGCTCTTTCTGTCCTGCTTGCCTCCACCGGTCACCTCTGACCCCTGAGGCAGAGAAATGGACAGGGTGACGTGGACACTCTTCTATCTGTCTGCAGGGTCATGCTGATTTCCAGACTTGCTCCATTCTGTCCTTCCATTTGGGCTCCTGTTTGTCCAGCTTTGCCTCTGGGGTTCCTGGGGGCCCCATGTCACAGAGAAGAGGGAACTAGGAGTATTGAAGGCATGACCACATCGAGACATCAAAAGACCTAGAACCCTCGGGACTGAGTCTGGGGACACACAGGTCAAAGATTCAGGGAAGCTCCCTGGGGTTGTGGGACTCGAGATCCAGGGCCAAGAATGGTGAAGGGGTGGAGGGGCTCCCCAAGGCCTCTGGACAGTGGCCATGCGGAGTCCTCAGCCACTCTAGACTCAGGGAACCCGGCAGAAGGGAGGACAGAGGGAAGGCGTAAGGTGCCAGACCCCAGGAACCGGACAAGGGACATCGGATGACAGGGTATGAGGGACGCCATGGTCTCTGCAGAAAATAATCCCTTCAATAATGAAGATAAACCCCACAGCATGAAATCTCTAATGATGTGGCTATAAGACCAGAGAGACAAAAACAAAACTGTAGAGTCTGAGAGACCCACGGACAGGCAGACAACTCTGATCACCCCATGTGAGGCTCCAGGAGAAACAGATTTGGGTCAGAATAGGCTTTAGAGCAAAGGCCCTAAGCCATCCAGTAAAGAAGTGTCAGCTCAGTTATATCTCCAGAATCTCGCGACGAAAGGTGACAAATCTCAGATGATCCCGTCAGGGACAGACAGGCACACATTACGACAGACCCAGTCTGAGTGTCAGGAGGTTGCAGGACGAGGACAGTGAGACTCAGAAATCTGTAAGAAGGGCCAGGACCCATGAGGGTATCAGGACAGGTAACAAAAAGTATCCAGGAGTTTCTCAGAAGAGAGAAAAACTTCTATGGGAAACTCACTAAACCAGCCTCCCTTTGAACAGACACTCAGACATAGATGGTCCAAAACAAGGGATCTTAACCTAACACTAGAGACTTCAAAAACACCTCCAGACTGAGATCAACAGATCCAAGGGAGAAAGGCAACCCTCTCAACTCCTGCCCCTACCTCACCCCGCAGGTCAGCCCAAGTCTGCGCCCGCGGTCACTCTGTTCCCGCCCTCCTCTGAGGAGCTCAGCGCCAAAAAGGCCACACTGGTGTGTCTCATCAATGACTTCTACCCCGGCACTGTGACGGTGGCCTGGAAGGCGGACGGCAGCCCCGTCACCCAGGGCGTGGAGACCACCAAGCCCTCGAAACAGAGCAACAACAAGTACGCGGCCAGCAGCTACCTGAGCCTGACGCCTGAAAGCTGGAAATCTAGGAGCAGCTA